TTCCCACGTCCCCCTCTGCCTAAATAGTAAAGTTCGTTTTTCTACATAGCATCATGTACATCTCATTGTTGCAATGGGTCAATCTGTATCCCTATTTAAACATTTTGTTTATTCCCTTCCCCTCCCCAAATTATACCAACATCAAATACAGTGAAAACAGGGGTTATACCATGGGGGAAGGAAATACAAAGCAACAAAAAAATCACATGGTACATTATAAATACTTTAGAAACAATAGCAAGTAAGAAAAAAAACTACTTGTGCCCCAATCTTGGGGTTCCTTTTGCTTAACATCATCTTCTTTGAGCTTTTCTGCCTGTCCCAGACACATATTAGTTATGGCAAATAAGGGAAACCATAAGACCTAAGTTTCTTTGGGCCTGGCTTACTTCACTTAATATAATTTTCTCCAAGTCTTTCCATTTTCTAACAAATGGGGCAATGTCATTCTTTCTGATGGAGGCATAGAATTCCATTGTGTATATACACCACATTTTCTTGATCCATTCATCTACTGAGGGGCATCTACATTGGTTCCATATCTTAACTATGATAAATAATGCTGCAATAAACATAGCCGTGCTGGTAGCTTTATTATGGCCTTGTTTGTGATCATTTGGGTAAATGACCAAAAGTGCGATTGCTGGGTCATAGGGGAGCTCTATGTGGAGTCTTTTGAGGAACCTCCGTACTACTTTCCAAAGTGGTTGAACAAGTTTACACTCCTTGCAACAATGCAGTAAAGTTCCCTTCTGGCCACATCCCCTCCATTATCTGTTGTAAATTCCCCAACGACAAATCCTCAAAGAAACAAGCCGCGGAAATAAGAATGGCCAATAGACACATGAAGAAATGCTCAACCTCTCTAACCATAAAAGAAATGCAATTCAAAACAACATTGCAATTCCACCTCACTCCAGTTAGAATGGCTATAATCAAGAACTCTAATAACAACAACTTACTATTTTTAATTGCTCTTAACAATTCCTTAGTTGTTATGTTTGTAATTACAAGTATATGCAGATGACAGTATAAAAATTTCACATCTTGCCTTCTGCTGGTGGCTCATGCCTGTAATCCTAGCTACTCAGGAGGCTGAGATTTAAGGATCACCATTCAAAGCCAGCTCAGGCAGGAATTTCTGTGAGACTCTTATCTCCAATTAATCACCAGAAAACTGGGTGGCCCAGGCCCAGAATTCAAGCCCCATGACTGACAAAAAAATTCACATCTTAACATTCTAATATTTTTATACATTTCCTAATATCGACTTTAATAAAAATATTAACTGCTCATGGTAATTTGGGATGTTCATATCTTGAATTTTATATACACATAAATTTATTAGGTATTGAGGATTATTTTGTTGAAATATGAAACATACACAAAGTCCTAGTACAAACTTTATATTTCTTCATATTTTACCAACATTTTAATGAGGAACCCTGTAACTTTTTTACTAAAACATATCTTGAAATTTGTGGACATGAATGTGTGAATCTTTTCACCTGGCTTTTTAGTAAAATACAAAGTTTCTCAAATTAATAGTTCCTTAATTGAAGAGAATGGTTTGTTTCTCATGGTGTAATCTTCTTTCTAAATACCAACAAATTATATCCAGTATGTTTACAGTATAAATTACATCTCTATGTAAAAAGCCAGTCATTTTTTTCATTTTATATATTTTAGGCAGTTTGGGTAATTGTCATCCCTTGTAGTAAAACATAAATATTTTGTCTCTGTATGTTCTGAAGCAGTTCAAAATTAAATATTACATGACAACATTTAATGATTTTCTAATGAAAACATTGAGCCTATGTTGTGTGTATTAAGCATATGAAATTCTTTGATGAGTGGATAGATTTCTATTGATATATTCACAACTTTCTAGCTGTAGTATTCCAATCCTGTGTCATGTTTCTTTCTCCAAAACTGAGCTATCTTTTAGTGAAATTTTACATGCACCAGTCTAAGAAGTAAGTATATACCTATGCTTGCTTTTTCAGTTCTCTTTGTAACTGTGTTTTTAAAAATCATAATCCTGAAAAAGTGACATCTTCCCTTTAATACCTACATTGCTCTTTGACACTGGAGAAAAATGTGGAAATATACACTAGTTGCATTAGGGTAGGGACTGAAACACAGAGCATGTATAACAGTCTATGAGATAATGAACTACAAGGATTAGACTCCCAGTCTTTGAATGGTGGTCAGGGATTTTGGAGTGAGCAGGGTGTTGGAAAATCTGCAGGTATCACACACTGTTAGAATAACTTTTTGTGAAGCTTTGCTGTGTGAGCCAGATCTAGATTTTCATTACTCAAAAAGCTATTCACAGGTGGACAGTAACAAATCTTAATTAGAGAATTTTTTGAGCAGTCCTAAGAGATCCTAAAATAATATTTAGGGAGGGAGCTTATCTTGCAGAAAATCTCATCTTTATGACTTTGAGATGAGGACTAAAATCATTATAATTTAATATTAAAGAATTTTTTTGTCTAGGGCTGATGAGGTCACCACCTTTGGGAAAACATTCTCAAATTGAATTGGTCACCCACTATTTGTATAAATTATGCCGAAGTTAGGTCTTTTTATATGTTGCTACTACTTTTTCATTCAAGACAGAACCTGAGTAGCCAGCTAAATTATTTGATTTTATTCACTCTGTACAAGAAATATCAAATATTACTTGTCATTTTATTTCTTTTCATATTTTCTATTAAATATCTTGCTGTGTATACCTACCTCCAATATCCAAGTTCAGACTCTCATTTTCTTCTCAGATTTTCTTCAGTGAAATCTGATGCATTTTATATAATTGAAACCATCGTGAAATAAATTAAAAAACCCAACTTGATCCAACTAAATATCTAAGGAAGGTAGTCATGTGTAGTCATCTCTTGATATGGGAGTATAAACTGTAGGTGGTCTTTTCTTTTTGTTTGGCAGTATTTTTAATGTTTGCCCTCATTTTCTTGATGACTTCCATTATTTTTATGTTTGTTTTAGAATTGCTTTTTCCTCTGACCACAAATCTAATTAACTCCACTACAGTTGCCTAGAAAGAAAGTATCAAGATCAGGTGATATTGGTTTGGCAAACCGCACATCATTTGATGATACACTGTTGGAAGAGTTGTGATAATACAGGTGTGCATAAATTGATTGTGGGAGGTTAAGTTGGAATGGATTCATTGGAGGGTGATTTGAAAATGGTCCATAATTATAATATAAACTTATTGACCCAGAAATTTTATTTCTAGGAACTTATCCCACAGATCTATTTATACATGTACAAAAATATGTACCTACCTCAGAGTATGGTGCCAAATATAGTGACATAAAAACAAGTACCAACTGTGCTCATTAGGGTTATAGTGAACGACTATTGTGGTATGCTATGCAATAAAAATTAACTACCTAGGTTTGTAGGGTAAAGGATCTACAGGATTTTGCAATTTAAAATCTATCTATATATCTTTCTATCTATCTACTTATGGATCTATGGATATATATGTATAAGTACATTGTATATTATAGCTATATATGTATGTATATATATTCACATATGAGATTTGGGTATGAGACTTCACTATACATCCTATATACCGTATGTTTTTTTACATACACACACACACACACACACACACACACACACACGAAGTAACAAATACACAAACATGTGTGAGAAAGACATTATATGTACATGCATGTTTGTGTTAGTGAAAACACTATTAACTTATTTTTATAAACCCCAAAATAAATATGCTATTTAATCTTTCATCTAGTAAATCTATGTTACTTCCTCAAAACCAAATACACATAATAATGTGTGCACAGCTGTTTTATTTTATCCTTACTTTCTCTCTTAGAAAAGTTTTAGTTTGATGAATGCATTCCTAGAAAGGCAATTGAAAAGTAGGTTATATACTTAACCCTTTAAAAACAACTCCTTAGTTACTAAGATAATGAATAAACTTTATTTTTTCTGCAAGAAATCACACACATTCATAACTCAATCAAATACAAGAATTATCCACGTCTTCAATTAAAAAGACAATAACAAATTAAGACATCAAATCCACCTACTCTGAGCGCACCTGCTGGCCTTTCACTGTAAATAGCTACATGAATGGTGTTACATGAACTTACAGAAATGTTTATCTGCAAAATACCTTCTTACTTTTCCTGGCACATGTAGCTCAGCTTTGATTTGTTATAAAGTTCTGTAGTATGAATGCTATCCAGGAAAGGAGCAGCTTTATACAGAAGATTTAGGGCCTGAGGATGGTGCTCAAGATTTGCTGAATAATTAAAATAGTTGATTAACAGTATAACAGTATAAATTTCATTATAAAGTTCTTCAACCAAGATAATATACTTCAAAAATATTTAATGCCCAAAGATATTCAGACAAGATATGCTGATCTTCCTACACCCAAACACTTCCCTAATTGTAACACTTTAGGACTGCATTTTCTAGAGTAGGGCTATAAATGGCGTAGGGCTTCTCAGACAATCCCAAAAGACACTTTTATACACACATTTTAAAAAATCCACACATTTGAAATGTATAGAAGACCTGGACATATTATTAGAATATTAAATTGTATTAAGAACAGGACTGCAAGAGCTTAAAGAAAGAGCAGGTGTATGTCACTCAGAAAAAAGAAATGAAACAGAATTTATACTTATCTGGAATTCTTTATTTCTCCTCCTTGGGGAGAAGATGTTGAAAAATATGAAAGCCAAGTTTTGATTGCCAACATGACTATTTGTTCTCTCCTGTCGCTGACTCTCTCTCCCTCCCTGTTTCTCCCTCTCACCTCTCTTCTCTCCTTTCTCTGTGCCTAATATACTAAGTTGAGCCAATTCTCCTTGGAAAACAAAAGACACACAGTGTTACCAAAAAAAAAAAAAAAAACCCACAAGTGCATCAAGAGGAAAGTGAGGCTAATCTAAAAGGTAAATCTGTGTCCTTTGATGAGGAAGCAGTCATCCTTAGCTCCAGAGGCCTGCATAGTTCCCGTGGAGGCCTGAAGGAAGTGGGCCCCCAGCCACGAAGAGCTTCATCTCTGGCCAGTTATAGCAGTGGGTGTACAGTGCATTTGGGAATTCCTCCATGCCACCAAAGTAGTTTACCCAGAGGTCATCGTGGTTGAGCCAGCCTCTGCCGCAAGTGAGTTTCAGCTTTCTTCCTGCAGGTCTAGGAAAGGAGTCTGGACTAGCTGATGACTTCTCCTCTAAAAATTTCTGGGTGCGGATATCATAAAAAAGCAGAGCACCATGGCCTGTGCCCACAGTGATGATGTTTTGGTAGAAGCTCAATGAGCGCACACCTGTGCCACCCTCTCGGGAACACAAGGGTCTGATGTTCTGCTGGCGTTGCCGTGGATCTAGGAAAGAGACATGAGACTGGGAGCCCACCCCGTATAAAGACAAGTCATTGCAATAAGTCAGACACACGTTCTCTCGGCAGTATGGCAATCTGATGGAGAGCAGCCGGGACAGGTTGCTTCGGGCTTTCCACAGGTGGAAATACCCATCCAAGGACACTGCTCCCAGCTCCTGGTTTCTACCACTGAAAGCCAGGGCTCTCACCTTTTGATTCCCTGGATTGGTGGTGGTTCTGGGGATGGCTTCCACATCTCTAGGATGGATGTGAGTATACGTGGGAATCTCTTCATCACCATACCAGGCCACGTTGTCATTGACCAGGTCAGGGTCCACCCGCCAGAGAGCCACGGTGCCATCCCGGGATCCAGTGACGGCCACAGTGTCACTCATCCAGGCGATGGCGAAGATCCAGTCCTGGTGACCTTGGCGGTCACCGAGGCACACAGGGTCGAGAGTGGGCAGCTGGTAGACTGCCAGGCTGTTGGGGTTTTCACCCCCCGTGGCCAAAAGAGTCTTGGAAGGATTCAGCTCTATGGCATGGATGCCACAGGTGGCTTGGTCCTGGGCCATATTGGAGTTCTTATCCTGCAGCAGTGGGAGGTGCGTGATGTGGCCCGAATGCACATCCACCACAAAAAGCGTGTTGCACTTGGTGCCGCACACCACCTGCCTGGCATTCAGCCACTGAGAGGCGAACACCTTGTTCAGGGTGCCCAGGAACAGCTGGTGTTCGCGCAGCATCTCGGGCAGCCTCTGCACCACGTAGCCACTCATGCTGCCCTCGAAGCCCTGAACCTTGGCGAAGCCCCGCGCGCCCACCTCGCGGTGTTTCAGGTAGTGCACCAAGGAGCGCCGCACCTCCTGTCGCTTCTGCCGCTTAGCCACCACCAGCCCTTCTCCCTGGCCCACCGCCCCGGAGCCCAGCGATGAAGAGGAGCACCCGGCTCCCGCCTCGATCGCGGTTGCTTTCCGCTTCCTGCTGCTACCTGTTTGCTGTGGGGCCATGGTGGGCGGCGGGCGGGCGGCAGCTGCTGCTGCTGCGCGGCGGCGGCGACGGCGCGTGGCACCCGTGTTAGCCGTGGCGGCGACGAGGATGGCGGCTTGCCCGCGTCACCCTGGACTACGGAGTCTCAATGGTCAGGAGGTCGGTTGATCGCGGGACAGCGGGTCTACTGACTCTAAGATGCGTTGGCGGCAAAGGAGGAAAAAGCAGTGGCCCCGTGTAGGAAGCTTGGTTGGAAGGAGTGGAGCGCAGGCGGACACGGCGGCGAGAGAGTGGAGCCTGCAGCCAGGACTCGGCGGCGAGAGGGAGGCTGCAGAGCGGACCTAGGCGAGGGCGGGAAGTGCGGTCGTCTGGGAGGTGCTGGGAAAGTCTGTGGAGAGTGAGGACTATGTAGGGGACCTGAGGGTGAGAGGAGGAGGCAGTGGGAGGGACTGACAGGCGGGCGTGGGGTGCTGGGTAAAGCACACAGGGCAGGGTGGGGGTAGGGAGGAAAGACAGGGGGATGGCCAGATGGGGTGAACATGAGAAACTGGGGGAAAGTCATCAAGTGCCAGCGTTCTGGGCTCCCCAATATCCAACCCAAGGCCTTTCCCCACCATAATAACAGCAAATAGCCTTAAAAATCCCTACTGGAATAAAATCCGAAATTTAAAATTAAAAAAAAAATTAGGAACTTTGACCAGGATCTGTAGTAGAAACAAATATGTAATTGGTGTCATCCGGGGACAGCTTGACTAAGGGAATGTTTGCAAGGGACAAGGAGACCCCTTTGGGCTAGTTCCCTTCTGTGAGCCCCTCTACTGGTGAATTTGAAAAAAATGTAATTTGTTTCCCTCCTCCTCCTTTTCCCTTCTTCCTTCCCCCACCCCTCTTTCTGTCTCTTTCTCTTTCTCTCTGTCTCTCTCTGTCTCTGTCTCACTCTCTCTCTCTCTGTCCCTCTCTCTCTCTCTCTGTCCCTCGTCCTTCTCTTCCTCTTCCTCCTCCTCCTCCTATGTCTTTTCCACTTCTGAAATTGAGGTCCCTGAGCTCCTCTGCTTTAATCTCTGGATGATGTCATTCAAAAGCTGACTAGTAGATGATAGCCTGCAGCACTTCCAGGCAGGTTTCAGCAGGGGAACATTTTGGTCAGAAGCAGCCTCAGGACTTAAAAAAGCTGCAACAGGGATGTGGGTGAGAGTGTGGGGTTAGGAGGAGTGAAGAGAAATATGTTCCTCTATGGTAGTGACGTCTGTCGAAGCTCAACACTCTGGATTGATGGTGAGATGGAGAGAGGAAGAGGTCCCAGAAAGAACTTTCCGTCCACAAGACCAGTGAAAGGAAATGCAGCAGAAAGGTCCTCTAAGGTCTTACGATGGGACCCTGAGGAACATACAGGATTTCTATTGTTTCTCCTCTACTGAGAAAGAACTTTCCAGACGAATAACTGGGACACAAAGGTGAGGGTATAGACATTTCAGGCCTGGGCTTCTCAGCCTCAAGAGTCAGCTGCACCACATAAGCTTGATATCTTCAAGACGGCTAAAGTAGTGGCAGACCTACACGGAGGCATGCTTAGTTAACATTCCATTATGAGGCTATGGCCCATACCAAAGCTTTGTAAAATCAGTTCTCCTTCAGAAAAATGTCTGCTGACTTACTTACTTCACACTTACCCAGTGTGAATTAACTGTTCTAATCAACAGAGGAAATTTTGAAGCTTTTTATTGCTGCTCTTTTTCTATTGTTCAGAGGCTTCACTCCTCTTGCAAACTTACTTTAAGTGTTGCAACTCCAGGCACAAAATCCATTAGTTCATCTCACCAATACAGTTCAATTGCTGCATGTAGATGCCCAACCCTGTCAATTTCCCTCCCAACGTGTATAGTCTGTTATAGCCACAGGAGAGTGAAGAGAAAAATAGTGTCTAATTCATTACAAGTGATATTACTACTGTAAGTTTTTTCAATGTTTATATGCTAATTGTAAGATTAAAGTTGATAGAATGTCTGCTGAGAAAATAGGTAATATGTAAGAATTCATGGCATAGATTTTCCTGTTGTGATAGATCAAAATATGCTGGAAGTTTTAGGATCTATCAGTCTGTTTGATTGTATAATTGCATATACATATTCCATTTGTAAAAACAAATAATAAGCAAATACTTAATAAAACCTATTTGAGCCATGTACTGGATGACTGGTGAAATGCTAAATGATTTGTGTAATTTTCTTTCTTTTGCCAGTACTGGGACTTGAACTCAGAGCCTGGGAACTGTCCCTGAGCTTCTTTTGCTCAAGGCTAGCACTCTACCAATTGGGCCACAGCACTACTTCCAGCTTTTTCTGTTTATGTGGTACTGAGGAATCGAACCAAGGGCTTCATACATACTGGGAAAGCACTCTACCACTAAGCCAACTTCCCAACCTGATTTGTGTAAATTTAATGTCACGATAATTTTAAAAGGTGGATTTTATTTTTCTTTCATCTTTTAAGATAAGAGAATCTGCTGAGAAAGGTTACCAACGCTTCTATGATCAGAGCTACTAAACACAAGTTAATGAGAATCCCTATCTGAATATAACACCTTTGTGAATTACTCCTATATTACTCAATAAATGATTTTTTTGTTTCTTTCTCTTGAGAACCATATAATACATATAAATTGGACCATATTGTCACATTTAGGGTGGGTTTGTGTGTGTGTGTGTGTGTGTGTGTGTGTGTGTGTGTGTGTGTGTGTGTATGTGCCAGTCCTGGGTCTTAAACTGAGGGCCTATCCCTAAGCTTTTTTGGCTCAAAGGTAGCACTCTATTGGAGATAAGAGTCTCAGAGGCTTTCCTACACTGCATTGCTTTGAACACCTCATATCTCAGTCTACTGAGTAACTAGAATTCCAGGTATGAGCCAACAACACCTGACTAGAATATATATATATATATATATATATATAAAGTTTATATATATATAAACTTTATATATATATAAAGTTTATATATATATATGTATATAAACTTTATTGTTGGTAAAAATAACCATAAAATTTTTTGTACCTTTCTAATATAAATATTCAATATTTAGCTATCATGATGTGTTTCTCCATATTCAGATTACTATTTTGTATTGCTAAATGAAATGTGTTCATCTAACTTGAAAATTCTCTGTTTTCAAATTTCCCTGAGCATGTGATGATGTGAAACAATGTCCAAAAAGAAGAAAGGCAAGTGATGTTCAGATATGAACAGTTGCATATATAAACTTGCAATTTTGAATTTCTGTCTGTACTTTTTGATTGCTCCTAGTTTTAGAAGAACACAGTGTTTTCTAGTGTGTATTGCCATAAACACAGTATTTATTGTTGATGTTGCAGATGCAATAACAAAGTGATAAAAATTTCAGGAATCTGTGTACATTTCTGGGCCTCCACTCCTTTCTTGTCTTATTTCTGAAGGCCACTGTGACTGTGAGAGTAAAATTGTATCAGTCTTACCAGTGTCTTTGTGTTCTTTTGCTTCAAATTAGCCCATCTTTCACCCTATTTCAGTTACCACTTCTCCATTGGATGATATCTTATGGGACTGGTTTTAGGGATGTCTCATGTTTCTCCTTATTACATTTATATTTT